AGATTTAAAGTACACATTGCACAAGGCTAATGGGAAAATCAGCCTTGGTCATTGCAAGGGTTCTCCAATTTGAGTTATAAAACTTCCTCCCTAATTTGAGGTTTATGCAAAGGTCCTGAGGTCCTACATGATGAGCCAGCACATCAAGGAGGCCCCTCTGGTCATCAGCCATTGTCCACAATGATCCACTGACCAAAGCCTGCAGCTTTCTTTTTTTAAAAAATTTATCTTTATTGTTGAAAGTATTACCCATCAGGACCAGTTATTTCCACCCCACACATAGAATGCAGGGATCTTTGGGGACAAGGAACGGGGGAGAAGCTGGAGGTCCTCAGGCTTAGAATTCAATTTCCTCAGCACATCACACAGCTGACCCTTCTGAGACCTTCTCAGCTCCCCATGTAATTTAGCCTCTGTTTTCAAGCTGTGTTTCTTTGATCTCTCTGTGGATTTTTATGCCAGTGCCATACTTTTTATTTATGAGAGCTTCGAAATACACATTAACTTTTTAACAAGTCCTCCCTTGTTATATTTCTCCGTTTGGTTTTTATTAGTCTTAAGTAGTTGCCTCTGTCTACTTGGGGATGAAATGTCCTCAGAGGAAGAATCTCCAATCACCATATTCCCTGGATTACCCCCTTTTCACCCCCATTCTTCCCTGATATGATCTTGACTTTCAAGCTCTTTCTAAGAAGAAAGACGAGTTCTCTATAGAAAGTCATCACCTTGCCTCCTTCCCCCTCTTTACCTGTTTTTGGCCAGTTTGACATCATTTCTACTTCAAAATAAATTGCAAATCAGCTTAATTAAATTTAAAATAGAGAACTGATCATTTAGAGCATAGTTCCAGTATCACAATTATACTAAAGTTTACACAACAAAAATCCTTTCTCCCAATTGAACAATTTATGTACTTGCTTGAGGGGTACCTACTCTCTCAAACAAAAACCTCTATCTGAAACCCTGGATGCCCTTGGCTTTCACATTGGTAAATAAAAAGTTCCATTTTGTTTTCTTCCTCAATGACAGCATTCTTCTCCAAATGAAAAAATGAGATGCTTCACCCTGGCTGAAAAAAGTCTTGAAAAAAGAAATAGTAAGTCATTAAGCTCTCCCCCCACTCCATAGACTTAAAGACACTAATATATCACAACCCCTGCATTTCTGCTCATTCCAAGGGACTTGGTTGCTCTGTTATTCCCAGCTTTATCTGGAGTATCTTATCCTTGGAGAGTTGTTGAGATTTCTAGTTGTCATTTGAAAATCCCTATGCCCTTTTCCTCGAGTACAGCATCCTTCTACCCTCAGTGCGGGCCTGCTGCTTAGGGACAAGCCATGCCTGGCAGAGATGCCTGGCTGACTGGCAGTTCTCTTTCCACCTCATTGCAGTGCAGTACATGTGGCTTCTGCAAGCCCCATTTTACTTTTTTCCCAGTGAGTGTTCAATGATTTAATCCCAACCTCAACTGCAGTTGTAGACTCAGGTCATCCTCACTCAGAGCAATCCTTTCTTTCCTGGTTTAGTTTAGGAGCTGAGTGTGTGATCTGAGTAGGTCTTATTAAAAGGAAGCTCATGCCCTAGCCGGTTTTCCAAGTCGTTAGAGCATAGGGCCTGTGGCCTAAAGGGTTACGGGTTCGACTCCAGTCAAGGGCACATACCTCAGTTGCAGGCTTGATCACTGGCAGTGGAGGGAACCAATCAATTCTCACATTGATGTTTCTGTCTCTCTGTCTCTCCCCCTCCTTTCCACTCCCTCTCTCAAAAAAGAAAAAAGAAAAAAAAGAAAAGTAGCTCATGACTTTTGTTAGCTGCTTTGGGCAGGAGATATCCTGTTTCTTCTCCTGGATACAAAAAAGCCTTGCCCAGCCAGCCAGCTTGGCTCAGAGGTTGAGCATCGACTTATGATCTAGGAGATCGAGGTTCAGTTTCCAGTCAGGGTCTGTGACTAGGTTTTGGGCTCAATCCCCAGTAGGGGGCGTGCAGGAGGCAACTGATCAATCAATAATTCTCTCATCATTGATGTTTCTATTTCTCTCTCCCCCTCTCCCTTCCTCTCTCTGAAATCAATGAAGACATATTGACAAACAAACAAACAAAAAGTATGTATGCTCAAGCTGTTTCAGTCACCTTTTCCTTAAACAGCATTTGGCCTTGGAACCAAGACAATACCTGGAGAGGGAGGCTCACAGAACCCTGGTTGAATAGAGCCCGAAGTCCAACTTCCTTTTGTTATGTTTCATTTATGTGAGATAATGATTATTTAAGCCACTTGGAGTTGGGTTTTCTGTAACTTGCAACTAAAAACTATTCAGACATATCAAATCACCTCTGATCCGAGGAAGTCACACCTCTCACCCCAAGAGTGGACTCCCTTCCATGGCAGAGGTGGCCGAGCATTCCTCAGGGTTCCAAACCCAAGTCTAGTCCCTGTCTGCTTTTCTTGCTCCGGTCAGCATTCAGTTTCCATTTCTGGTAGGCTTTCTTTTTTTCTTCCTCATGTTTTTTAAAAAACAAAGAATTGATTTGAATATTAACATTTAATTTTAACTTAATTTTTATTTTATTTCAGCAATACACATTTGCAAGTTAAACAGTTAAATAATTCTTAAGAGGAAAAGAGACATTCCCACCCTATCCTCTCACCTGCATCTTCTCTCCAGAGGTAATCTCTGGCAATTCTTTCCACTGTTTCTTCTGGGCTTTAGCTCCTATTGCTAAATAATATTTTTATACAGTTAGTCATCAGTCTCTAGGTTTAGTTACTATGTATTCTCTGTGATGGGAGATAAGGACTTATATTTCTAACACCTCTTCTCACCCACATACAAAAACTCTCCCTTCATTTCTTGAAAAAAGTTTGTATCATAATATTTTGCTATTTACATTATTCTGTATGTAAACATTACTCACAGCTAAACCCTGTAGTATACTATTTCTTTTCTTTAAAAAAGTTTTTTTCCCTAGTATTTAATAATTGCATTGTTTTTTCACTTGCTATTTTTCTATGTATTTTCACTAGTTCATCCTAAGCTCTATAAGAAAAACATAAATCCTTCCAATGTGTGCAAACCAATTTATTTCTTGTTTTTCTGCTTCATACCAACATCCTGGGAATTCTTTGCATCTTTCCCCTGTGTTGGATTCCTTGTTTCCTACATTCCATGTTTTTCTCTATCTTGGTTTAATCTGCTATTTTGGAAGAGCACATCCTCCAGTAGGTTTCTGATCAAAAGTGCAAGGGTGATAAAAATTTTGAAACCTCTCATACTAAAAATATCTCTACCTACCCTCTCATTTATTTGTTGGTGTTTTCCACGTCTGGGCCTTTTTTGCCAACCTGTAGTAGTCATTGTTCATAATTAAGAGTGAGTCTTTAACATGTTAATAGATACTCTAGACAGTAGGGCAGGCCCTGACTTCTGTGTTGGGAAATCCCCAACAGTTTTTATATGTTGGTCTTTTTTCCTGAGGTGAGAAGTTTTTCCATAGGAAGATCCTCCAGGCTCCCATCTTGACAGGATATCAGTTTGTCATCATTCTGGCAGCTGAGTAAGGGAAGGGCTCTGGTGCTCTTGTTTACCGTAAAGGCTTTCACTTAGTCCCTCCCAAGCTGCAGAACACCACCACCTTCCCACCCTCAATTCTGCTTGGAGGTAATAAATCAGAAAAGAAAACCTCCATCTTCAGTCTTCTTGTGAAAGTGAGGAGGGGTAGGTGCCTGATTGGGGAAGAGAACTGTTATTCTGACTTTCAATTAATCTTCCTAGAGGTTTTCAGGGGGAACAGTGCAGAAAGCATCCAGCCAATCATTCACAGAGGTTTTTAACTCTTATGAGCTATGTGAACTTGAACAAGTTTCTTGATTTCTCTGAACTTTAGTTTTTTCATCTGTAAAATGGAAACACAGGGCTTTGGTGTGAGTGTTAAATGGGATCAATGAATGTAAGTGCCTGTCACAGTCTGCCCAGCATAAAAAAGGCACTCAATTGTTGGACATACAGTGGCAGTGATGGTAGTAATTGCAATCTCTTTAGCCTTTCTACACTTTCAAAAGGACAGCCATCCTACTTATGCTCTGCCAAAATTTTAATAGAATTTCAGGGATATCACACCTTTGTAACTTGTCCTCCACTCCATCCTGTTTCTGAGTACCCAACCAAATCCTCAGAGCCACCTCCTCCATTCTGGCTCCCATCCCAAAGGGTTAACATGCAAGACTGAGAACTGCCGTGAAGTCAGTCTGAACCCAAATCTCAAGAGTAAAGCTGATCACTCTTCTCCCTTATTCTACATAGTGCCCTCGGTCTTTCTCCTGGCAAAAGGAAACTTCTTGCCTTCAGTGGGCTAGATCGCTCTCCTACTGCCAAGTGAAGTTCCTCCTGCCCACTCCTTCTCGCCAGCTCTCTCATGCCCTAGTTCTTCTTCCCCATTTTTCTCTCACTGTTCTTGTTTGGGACCCTAACTTTGCTTTGTTAGAGGACAGCTTGTCTCTTCACAGTCAAGGCCTTTTCCCTGAATCTTTAGGCTACTTATCTGCTCTGGGGTCTCCAGCAGCTTTGTTAATTGGCTATATTTCAGGGGTATTGAAGAAGGAAGAGGAATTGAAGAAGGAAGAGGAATTGAAGAAGCTGGGGAAATTAAGGTTATCTTAAAGTTAAGAATTTAGACTGTTTGATGGGCCACCTGGCACAGAATCTGATGAAAGGTAACACCTACTGTGCTTGGAATTTTTTTTTTGTCTGACACTTTAGATTGCAACACTCTAGTAAAGAATGTTCCTGCTAGTTTCCTCATTTAGACTCAATCAGTGAAAACACACCTAATGAAAATTTCGAAGTAGCCCTTATTAACAAGTCATGGTGATGTCAATGTTGGGGATCGACCTTTGTTGGGAATGGTGTAAATACATGGTCATTGGAGACTATGTTGGAACAAAAGTGGACAGATGAATATGAGAACAGGCCTCACCTAATAATCTCTTACATTTTCGTTCCCTTTTTCAACCACACGCAACAGGAAAGCTGCACTTTGTTGTCTGTGAATGACTTTTTCTGAATGCAGACCTTAGTCTGTCCTTAAAATTCTCCCCAGCAAAATAATAAAGCACAGGGTTGAGGCAGCTGTTAGCAGCCGCCAAGGCCAGTGTGACGATCACAGCTTTATGCAGCCTGTCTGTGCACGTACCCACTTCCCACACAATCAGGTGGAAGGTTCTCAGTATGTGGTAGGGCAGGAAACACAGCAGGAAGATGATCAAGGCGATGATGATGGTGGTCAGCGCCTTCCTGTGAGAGGCCCGCAGCCCCGATTCTGGGACCTCCACCTTTAACAGGGCTCGGATAATCAGCAAGTAACAGATGCTGAGCGTGCAGAACGGCAGCACGAAGCCCACCACTAAGGCGACGTAGTTCAGGGTCTGCAGTTTAACAATTTTATTGAAATTCAGCTCTAAGCATGTTGTGACATTACCCATCTGCTCAGAGCCATTCTTCAGAAGTGTTGCTGACGTAGCCATGATGAGGATCCATATGATCCCACACAGAACCCAGGCACTTCTGATGCTGGTGACGTGGAGCAGCCGGAAGGGGTGAACAGTTGCCAGGTAGCGCATAACGCTCAGCACAGTCAGGAAATAAATGCTGCTGTACATGTTGACATACATGGAATAAGACACAATCCTGCAGGCCAGATCCCCAAATATCCAATGGGAGCCTCTGAGGTAATAGTCAACCCTGAAGGGCAGTGTGGTTATGAACAAGAGATCGGAAATGGCGAGATTTAGCATGAAAATATTCACAGACGTGGACTTCTTATAAGGCTGCAGAAAAACATATATGGAAAAGCCATTTCCCAAGGCTCCCCAGACAAATATTATCAGGTACACAACAGGATAAAAATCCCTCTTGAAGCTTTCAGTTGTGCAGCTCCTGTGGCTGTTGTTATTGCCCAAGGTGCCATTGGGTTCCATTTCTGATATGGTGGTGGGTACAGGCAAGGACATAAGTTTCCTCTCCATGCTGGATTAAAAAAGACACAAAAAGTTACTTCCTGTTCACTGCTTACATTTTCCCAGGTTTTAATGAAATGGGGAGAAATACTAGCTTTTCTTTGAAAAGTGAATCAAAAAAATATTAGCTAATTATTTACTATATGCTCCATTATATTTCATGATAAAATTATAAGATGCAGAATATACATTCATTTATTTGATTGAAGCTGAAGCCTCAAACTTGGGAGGCTTTTGGCCTAGTGTCCATGTTAACATGAATGCCCTGCAACACTGCAGTCTAAATCTACTGGACAGAAGATTTCTGATCAGAATCTATGGAAGACAGAAGGAAGTGGCACAACACTTTTTAAGTGCTGAAGGAAAGGATCTACCAACCCAGAATTTTATATCCAGCAAAATTATCCTTTAAGTCTGAAGGTGAAATCAAGAGATGGATAACTAAGAGGATTTGTTGCCAGTAGACCTACTTTAAAGAATGAAGGAAAAAAGCTCTCTAAACAGAAAGGAATCAATAAATGAAGGAGTCATGGAATATCATAAAAGAAGAAAGAATACAATAAGCAAAAACATGGGTAAATACAATAGGTTTTTCTTTTCTTTTTGAGTCTAAGTTATGTTCGATGATTGAAAGAAAATCCGTAACACTGTCTGATGTAGTTCTAAATCGGGTGGGGAACCTGATTTTTTTCTGCTAAGGGCCATTTGTATATTTATAACATCATTTGTCATACAAAACTATCAACTTAAAAAATGGGTGGGGGGAAGAGGGATATCTGTAATACTTTCAACAATAAAGATAAATATATAAAACAATTAGCCTGCTATATTTGGTCAAACATTTAATTAACTCACTCCTAATGTGATGGCTGGAACTGCTTGTCTTTGGTGAGGCCTTGGCAGGGCCAGACCAAACGGTTTTGAGGGCCATATATGTTCCACAGGCCAGACCTTCCCCACCCCTGTAAATGGATGTAGAGGAATTTTTAAAGATAATTATATTATAAACAGAGGAGGATGAAGGGACATAGAGGAGGTAAGGTTTACATACTTCGCTTAAACTGGTAAAATGATGATGCCAATAGACTGTGACAATGAGGTATAATGTAATACCTAAAGCAGTTGCTAAAAAGCTATACAAAAAGATACACTCAAAAACACTACAGATAGCCCTGGCTGGTGTTCTCAGTGGTTAGAGCATCCTGCCATATACTAAAGAGTTGTAGGTTCGATTCCCAGTTAGGGCACATACCTAGGTTGCACATACTTGATTGGGGAACATACAGGAGGCAACCAGTCAATGTTTGTCTCTCACATTGATGTTTCCCTCTCTCTCTCCCCCTCTCCCTTCTTCTCTCTCTAGAATCAATGAAAAAACCCATATCCTGTGTGAAGATTAAAAACAACAACACACAAGATAAATTAAAATAGAATTCTAAAAAATGTTCAGATAACCAAGAGAAAGGCACAGAAAAGTAGATAATAGGAAAATAAAATGGCAGACTTATCCCTAACAAATCAATAATTACATTAAATACAGACAGTCTAAATATACCAATTAAAAGACAGTTTGGCAGACTGAAATATAAAAAACATATATGACCTAATTATATGTTGTTTATAAGAAACTCACTTCAAATGATAGCATTGGCAGTTTGAAAGTAAAAGGGTGAAAAACATATATGTCATGCAAACTTTATCAAAAAAATCAGGGGTGCCTGGCAGGGATGGCTCAGCGGTTGAGCGTCGACCTGGGATCCAGGCTATCGGGCTTGATCAATGACTCTTTCATCATTGATGTTTCTATCTATCTCTCCCTCTCCTTTCCTCTCTCTGAAATCAATAAGGATATATTTAAAAAAAAAAAAAAATCAGGGGTGGCTACTAATATCAGATAAAGTAAACTTCAGAACAAAGAAAATTTCCAGGGACAGAGTTTATCCATCAAGAAGACATACCAATGTTTAAATGTATATGCACCAAATAATAGAGTTGCAAAATATATGAAGCAAGAACTGATATAATTAAAAGGAGAAATAGACAAACCCATTATAGTCGGTAACTTCAACGATTGATAAAGCAAATAGACAAACACTCGGCAAGGATATAGTAGAACTCAAAACATCATCAAGTAACAGGACCCAACAGACATTTATAGAACACATGATTCTATAACAGCAGAAGACACATTCTTTTCAAGTATCCACAGAACATATACCCAAATAAACCACATCCTGGGCCATAAAACAAACCTCAAGAGATTTAAAAGAAATGAAATCACACAGAGTGTGTTCTGTAACTATAAATCAACAGCAGAATCAAACTACAAATCAACAGCAGAGATATAACAAGAAAATTTGCAAACACTTGGAAACTAAAATCACACTTCTAAATAATCTGTAGCTCAAAGATGAACTCTCAAAGGAAACCAAATAATATATTTAACTGAATGAAGATGAAAATACAACATATAAAAATTTGTGGGAAATAGCAGAAGCAGTAGTGAGAGGGAACCGCATAACACTAAATGTATACATTACAAAAGAAAAAGTATTAAATCAGTCATCTAACCTCCCATCTCAAAAGCTAAAGAAAAATAGTGAAATAAACTCAAAGTAAGCAAAAGGAAGAAAATAATAAAGATAAGAGCAGAAATCAAGGAAATTAAAAAGAGAAAAAAAATTTTAAAAATCAAGGAACTGGTTCTTTGAAAAGATCAATATAATTGACAAATCTATAGCAAGATGGACAAAAGAAAAATAGAGTAAACACAAGTTACTGGTATCAGGAATAAAACAGGGGACATCATTAGAAACACTGCAGACATCAAAAGGATAATAAGGTGATACTATGAACACCTCCCAAACATAACCTTGACAACTTCAGTGGAATGGACTAATTCTTAAAAAAATACAAACTATCCCAATTCACCCAATATGAAATAGATAATTTGACTATTAACAAAATTAAATTCTTAATTTAAAATTTTCAATAAAGAAATCAGCAGGTCCAGATAGTTTCACTGGAGAACTCTACCAAATATTTAAATAAGAATTAACACCAATTCTATACAATATTGTCCAGAAAATAAAAGAGGAAGATGCACATTCCAATTTATTTTGTGAAGTTAGTATTACCTTGATATCAAAGCCGGACAAAGGCAAACAAAAAACCCACAAAAGACTACAGACCAATATTCCTTATGAAAATATATGCAAAATCTCTTAGCAAATAGAATATAGTAATATACAAAAAAAGAAATTCAAACCATGACTAAGTAGGGTGTACTCCATGGGTTCAAGTTTGGTTCAATATTTAAAAAATAGTCAATGTAATTCATGTAAACAAGCTAAAGAAGAAAAACCACCTGGTCATATCAATCAATGTAGACAAAGCATTTGGCAAAATCCAATAGCTGTTCATAATCAAAACTCTCAGAAATAAAGGAATAAAGGGGAGTTCTCCAATTTTATAAAGATCATCTCAAAAAATCTTCAGCTAACCTACTTAATGGTGAAAGACTGAATGGCTTCGCCCTAAAATTGAGAACAATGCACGATGTCCACTCTCATTGCTATTATTCAATATATTGCTGTAAGTTCTAGAAAATAAGACGAAAAAGGAAATAAACATAATACAGATCAGAAAAGAAGAAATAAAATACTTCCCATTTGCAGTGACATGATTGCTTACATAGAAAATCACAAGGAATCTACACACAAAAAATGTCCTAGAAGTAGCAAGTAAATTCAGCAATGTGGTAGGATACAAGATAAACATTCAAAAATCAATTGTATTTCTATATACTAGCAATGAATATATGGACATATTGAAATTAAAAACACAATTTCATTTGAAATCATTCAAAAATAAAATGAGACTTAAGTGTAAATCTAACAAGATATTACAAGGTTTGTATGCTAAAAACTACGAAATGCTGATGAAATAAATCGAAGTTCTAAATAAATGGAGATAGGTACCATGTTCATGGAATGGAAGGTGAACAGAATAAAGAGGTCAGTTTTCCTCAAATTGATATACAGGATCAATGTAATTCCTACCAAAATTTTTGTAAGATGTTTTTGTAGGTATAGACAAGATTATTCTAAAATTTATGTAGAAAGGAAAAGGAAGTAGAATATTTTTAAAAAGAATAATAAAGTGAAAAGAACCAATCTACTCAATTTCAAGACTTATAGCTAAATTTATCAAGACTGTGTGTCATTGAAGGGATAGACACATAAATCAATGGAACAAAATAGAGAACCAAGAAACAGACTCACACAATATGCCCAACTAATTTTTGACAATCATTTTTGGCAAAAGTGATTCAACAGTGGAAAGACAGTTGTTTTTCCTGAGGTGCTGGACCAATTAGATATCCATAGACAAAAGAATAGAACTGAACCTGAATTTCACACTTTATAGGTGTGAGATTAACTAAAATGGATCATGGACTAAATGAAAACGATAAAACTGTAAAACTTTTAGAAAAAAGCATAGGAGAAAATCTTTGGGATCTAGAGCTAGGGAGAGAATTCTTAGACTTGACATCAAAAACATGATCCATAGAAGGAAAAATTGATAAACTGGACTTCATCAAGATGAAAAACTTCTGCTCTGCAAAATGCCCTGTTAATTAGGATGAAAAGGCAAGCTACAGACTGGTAGAAAATATTTACAAACCACATATCCCACAAAAAACAAATGTTCTAGAATATATAAAGAACTCTCAAAACTCAACAGTTAAAAAGCAACAACAAAAAAACAATCCAATTTGAAAATGGCAAAAGACATAAACAGAAATTTCTGACATTATATAAGTAACAAATAAGCACATGAAAAGTTGTTCAACAGCACTAGCCATTAGGGAAGTGCAAATTATAACTTCAATGAGATACAACTACATACTTATTAGAATGACTAAAATAAAAAAATAGTGACAACACCAAATACAGAGAAACTGGATCACTTGTATATTGCTAATGAGAATGCAAATGATACAGTCTTTCTGTAAAACAATCTGGCAGTTTCTTAAAAAACTAAACATGCAACTACCTCATAACCCAGTAATTTCACTCCTGGAAACTTATTCCATGGAAGTGAAAAATGTATGTTCACACAAAAACTTGTATATAAATGTTTACAGCAGCTTTATTTGTAATAGACAAAAAATGGAAACAAGCCAGATGTTTANATGTTTACAGCAGCTTTATTTGTAATAGACAAAAAATGGAAACAAGCCAGGTGTCCTTCNGTATGTTCACACAAAAACTTGTATATAAATGTTTACAGCAGCTTTATTTGTAATAGACAAAAAATGGAAACAAGCCAGATGTTTAATTGATTAAATAACCTGTAATATATACATACCATGGAATACTATTCAGCAACGAAAAGGAGAGAACTATTGAAACATTCAATAACTTGGATAAATCTCCAGGGAATTATGCTATGAAAAAAAAAGCCAATCTCAAAAGATTATATATAAAATATAATTTCATTTATATAAAATCTTTGAAATGACAAAAATATAGAAATGGAGAACATAGGTTAGTAGTTACCAGGGATTAAGGAAGTGATGGGAATAGGAGAGAAGTGGATGTGACTATCCAGAAGGGAAGCCTCAGGAATCCTTGTGATAGAAATGTTCTGTATCATAACTATATCAATGTCAATATGCTGGTTATGGTATTATCCTATAGTTTTGCAAAATGTTACCATTGGGAAAAAGATACAAACAAGTGATATCTCTATTATTTCTTACAACTGTGTGAGAAGCTGTAATTATCTAAAAATAAAAAGTTTAATTAAAAAGAGAAAGGTTAGGTGTAGTTTAAGCAGGATACCCCAGATGATTGTAAAATTCCATCTGGAAAGAACTGCTTGATGGTTTTGTATTTAGGGCCTTTTTAAAATTATTATGAAACACCCCTTTCCCCACACACAGCATCCCTCTCCATACCTGTGCACATTGTCCACCGGGAGAGGTCATCCTAAGGAAGATGGGAGAAGCCTTCCAAGCCCAACAAGTAATAAAGCCAACTTGTTCAATAACAGGTGTGTTTGTGGTGGTCTTTGGCTGGAGGACATTGACAAATTGGAGTTTCACTGAGATTCCTGCAAAGTTTTTCCTAACTTAAACAAGTACCTCAACTCAGTAATAGTTCACAAATCTGAGACCCTTACTCCTGGTTGGAGATAAGTTCATACTGCATTGAGTGCTGACATTGTTGAGAACCTTCAGCAGTGTGTATTTTGTTTTCCTATGAATAGGTCCTCTGAGATATTTTAGTCACTGATCAGATTTGTAAATCTGGTAAATTGTGACAATTGTTTTCTAGCTTTCTAACATCCATTCTATAGTCTGTCTATTGTCTTGAGTGTTGTTTGTCTGTCAGGGGAAAAGTGTATAAGGACAGAGCATGATCATTCCCCCTAAGCCTATCTTACAGCTGCCGCAGGGGCTGAGTTCAGAAGGACTGGCATTCCTTAAACAAACTTTCTCCTTTGGATAAATTGTGTCAGGCCATCATTTCAGAACTTAGAGGAACTTGCTCTAGCTTATCTTTGGGTCCCTGAAAACCATTTTTTCCAGCCCTAATCGGAAACAATTGACCTTGTTCACATTCCAAGACAAAAATTCATACAGGCACCACCCTTCCACCACTGCAGCTCTCATGGGGCTCCCTCAACCTAAAACTGTGCCTCTTCCAAGCCCAAGACCTGTTTCCTTCAGCTTTTCTCACTGTAACACAAACGTGTGTGCTTATCTCTACAACTGGCACAGTTTCACCTGGGACAATTTGAAATTGTAATAGCCACTGTGGGGAACTTTTGACATAAGACTGTTTACTTGAGAGGCACTTTAGAACAATAAGAAAGGTTCTTTTGTTTAATGTTGGCAATAACCTCCTCCTTTGCTTCCATACTTTGGGAATTAATAAGTGCTGGCTTTTTAATCAGCTACTGATAAAATTGTCAAGGACTTAAACCAATTTTAATGTAACTATTTTATGGGTGTATATTTCAAAATCTGTTTTTCTATGTATAAACTTCATTTCCTCTCTTTTCAGAGGGGACATGATTATCCTTTTTCAGTGTTAATGTCATATTCATATGAAGCAGCCTCCTTTTCATTTTTTAAAATTCCTCTGCCTCTCTTTTCCCCTCTCTTAAGAAATTAATGATTACCTGATAAAAGAGTCATTCACTTTTTCTATGCATATTATAGGATGCTTTAGTCCAGAGAAGCAGTCAAAATATCTGAAATAAAAAAAGAACAAATTATTAAGATGTGTTGTACTTTATGAACACTAAAAGTATATTTTCATAATGGGTTCTATTATTACTGTTGTGAGAAAAGGCATTACCTTCGAATTAAAAGAAGATAACATTTTTTGGCATGATCCACAGTCTTTAAAAATTTAGTTTAAAAAAATTAGTTTAATGTATAAACTAGCATCAACACAATATTTTGGTTTGTACAAGGCCGGGGTTAAATTTTTTTGACTAAATTGAATTTTCTACATTGGTTTATGAGTCAAGCAACATTCCATTTCTTTAATAACTTGTTTAAAAATTTAAAATATACATATAAAATAGCATTCAACTAAAATAAGTGATAAAAATGAATGGCATCGTATTCAACTAAAATGAGTGATAGTGAATGCTTTTTTAAAGTTAAGATTTAAATTTATGAAATTCTTACATTGTTATACATCATAAAGATTTAATGTGGTGGTAACTAAAATTATAATTTCCTGATCTTTAACTAACTTAGACAAATGGTTAATTAATAAGTCTTTGGATGCCTAACAATTTCTAAATAAACAACAGATACAAGACAGTGGTCACTAAATATAATCTTTACCTTATTTGTTAGAATGGAAATAGGTAAACAAAATATGCAAATGCTTTTGGATTATAGGTTTATACATCAAAATTGTTTAAATTGAATGACATAAATACTAATAGACCAAAAACTTCTAAATAATTTCTTATCTCCTATAACTTTTTTATGCCTCAAGAAAAGGAAGGTTGATTACTTTGGTTAAAGATGATAATTAATATAAATGGTTAATACAGAAAAATACAAATATGTACATAAGAAAATGAATATGATTTTCTACTTGTTTATTAGGAAAACTGAAAAGTTTATTCAGAAGGTAAATTTAATATGATATACCCTTTATTTTATTTAATAGATTTCATTTTAAAGCTATAGTTAAGCATTTTAAACTTATTTATTTTAAATATACCTTTATTGATTTCAGAGAGAGGAAGGGAGAGGGAGAGAGAGAGATAGAAACATCAATGATGAGTCATTGATCGTGCCCACAACCCGGGCATGTGCCCTGACAGGGAATTGAACCCTGATAGCCTGAATCCTAGGTCAACGCTCAACAGCTGAACCATGCCCGGCCAGGCTCAGCACTTTAAACTTATTATTTATGTGTGTATTTACATTTGTGAATACCTAAATGCATACATATAAGTGCATATTAATAAACCATTTACTGCAGATTGTCACATAAATAATGTACAAAATAGAGTAATATTAGAATTTGGGTCTTGTTACTATAAAATAATTACGTTATTTTACGCTCATATTAGTAAAGATTTATTTCTGTTAACAAAACATTCACTTTACTCTCAGTGCTTCTGACATAGTTGTAAATCATTTTTAAAGAGATTCCTTCCTTTAAAAATAGTTAAGTGCCTAATAACTATTGTTAATTTCTGGGAATTCTTACAATGTTGTCTATAATTATTTCTTGACCCTAGATACCTCAAACAACTATTCTTGGTTCTTCCTTTCCCATGTTCAAAATGAAGCTATTGATATGTATTTTGTGCCTAAACTACCTTTGGGTTTATTAAAATAGCCAATAGATTTGTTCCTTCATCCTGTGAAAGGAAGGACAATGGAAATAATTAGATTTCTAACAAATTTTTGAATTTTAATTAATTTAAAACTATTATGAGAGAGTCTTTGTTTATCAAACTTAGTAATAAAAACTGATACATTACAAGGAAAGTTGATTTTGTTAATTATATTGAAGTAAAATGTACTATAATAGCTCAGCCAGCATGGCTCAGTGGTTGAGCATCCACCCATGAACCAGGAGGTCCTGGTTTGATGCCCGATCAGGGCACATGCCCTGGTTGCAGGCTCGATCCCCAGTAGGGGGTGCAAAAGAGGCAGCCGATCATTGATGTTTCTGTCTCTCCCTCTCCCTTCCTCTCTCTGAAATCAATAAAAACATATTTAAAAATAAATAAATGAATAAATTATACCATGATATAAATATCTTTCAAGAATTACATACTTTTTAAGTTAAAGAAAACATGCTCATGTTTAAATACAAAGAATTTTTTAAAAAATATATCTTTATTGATTTCAGAGAGAGGAGGGGAAAGGGGGAGAGAGAGAGAGAGATAGAAACATCAATGATGAGAGAGTCATCATTGATTGGCTGCCCCCTGCACACCCCCCACTGGGGATTGAGGCTGCAACCCAGGCATATTCCCTGACTGGGAATCGAACCGGGATCTCCTAGATCTTAGGTCGATGCTCAGCTGCTGAGCCATGCCCAGCCAGTCCAAAGAATGTTATTATAAATATTAAAAGGCTTTCTTCCTGGATTCTAGATTTACAAGTCCTTTCTCCTTTTCTGTCACGACAAGTCTGAACAAGCTCTCCGGGTTCTGACTCAATTACATGGGAACTATCAGAGACCAGTTGCTGATTTCAGTTGTGGATCCAGAAGCCACAGGTAACTATTTTGCAGCAAGGCTTGTAGAAGCCTTCAGTCAACTTAGCCAATTTAGTTCTAGGGTCTTCACTAAACAAAAGTTTCTCTACTGTGCAAATGCTCTTTAATGATAGAAATAACTCAGGACTTTTCAGCTAATCACCTAATCTCCTCCTGTGCAACTTGGTTGGTTTCCCTTCAACATCACCATTCATTGCTATAACACTCTAAACCCAGCTACCCTCCTCTCTACTCTGTAGAAAAAGACACCTGTGATTGGTTACCTGTTAGGGAGGTATCCATACCTTGCATGGACTTTCTAGATTCACCCTTGGATATTCCTGACTTAATTTTGTTGGTTGGTTGGTTGGTTCATACTTAAAAAGAAAAACTAGAAATTGTCAAGCAGGTTGTGCTATCGCTGACTTGAATTTACCCTGAAACAAAGTAAGTTCAAATGGCTAAGTTAATTGTCTTTACACAAACTTGCCAGCTTCCAGAAAGATAAAAGAATAACTATACTGATACATGTTATATAATTTTGGATTTATCCATGAATTCAAAATGCTTTAGAAGTAGAGATTTCCTGACTCTACAAGAACCCTTATGAAATAGATAATGAATTAAAGAACCTTAGGATGCTTTGCTGTTACTTAAAGAGAGAGCCATAATACAAGTAAAGTTTAGCAAGACTGCTTCATATTACCTACAGAAGCAGAGATAAGCTGGCAATGATATTAAATCAACATTGGTGGGGTAATTTTAGGCTATTGCTAAGGATGTTCCAATGCATGCCCTACCTGCCATCAACACAATCTTAGTGAGATTGTGAAGATAGCGAACATGGGAAAACCATACCTCAAAGTTCCTTTGAACATCCCCAAGGGTCTATGGGTGTGCTTTGGTTATTGTGTATTCTCAGAGTATGTTAAAACTTTTCTTTGCTGAAGAGCTCTGTTGTAATAGAAAAAAATGCTTAATTTTGTAATTCCAACTTTTCTTTCCATTAAAAAAGACACACATTTCACTGATATGGTCATTAAAGAACTGTAAAGCTTTACCTTTTACTTAGAAACATCACTGTCCTTGTCAACAAATAGAGAAAGTAATAAGAACTAATAGAATTCTATACTTTAAATGGCCCAAGTATTTCCACTGACCTTGATGGCAGGTAGTAAGAGCACTCTCCTCTAGGACCCACAAATTATCTTCTTCCAGGTTAACAACAAGCTGCTTTATGCATGGGAATTACTTCCAATTTTTTATCCTAGTCCTATTGCAATCTAATGTGATGAGTGCACTAAAAATGCATTTCCAAAATATCTTCCAAAGTAGCCTTTGTGTGATCTGAAACCTAGATATTTGGTCTTTTGGAAAGGACATCAGAGAAAGACTTCTCTTGAATCTTGATGGAAAGGATCTTATTGGTACCTTTAACAACTGGCATAGCATTAAGGCTCCAATATTTTAATGTTTAAATTCATGGTTACCAACTAAAAAGACATAAATAACTTTCCCTCAACTAGTAACTGGAAGTTTGTTCCTTTGAAAGACCCCAAACTGAAGATTTTAAAAAATTCTCCAGAAGCTGTTGATTTACAGAAGTGGACAGCTCTCTATTAATAACTAATATGACCTCCCTGCTCTTCATCTTATAATCCATTATATCTTCTGCAACTTAAAAAAAAAAATTGACATCTATGAAACAATGCCACCACACACCAGCCAAATGTGAAATTTGACCATAATCGTAAAGCCTGACCTAATACCAATGGAGCATTCATTAGTTACCTAAAGCTCAATGAACTCAGAATATTGAAAAAGTTCTGGTAAAGCTGACAGAATAGGTAAACGCTGTGTTCACCTTCTCCCATAACCACATCAAAATTACAACTACAGCCCAGCCACACATGGCTCAGTGGTTGAGCATTGACCTCGGATCCAGGAGATTGTGGTTTGATTCCCGGTCAGAGCACATGCCTGGGTTGTGGGCTCGATCCCCAGTCAGGGGCGTGCAAGAGGCAGCAGATCAGTGATGACTCTCTCATCATTTATGTTTCTATCTCTCTCTCTCCCTTTCCCTTCCTCTTTCTGAAATCAATAAAGATGTTTTTGTGTTTTTTTTAAATTACAACTACATTATAGAACAACCAATCTGGAAAGGCTGAAGACTAGCTGAACAGAAGTCCTATAACTAAGGATATAAAGAAGGCACATCGAGACTTGTAGGAGGGGCAGAGACATGGAACGAGCTTCTCCCACGCTCACATGTGACAATTGAGCATCAAGAGAAATATCTCAGCTGTAGAGGTCGCCCCTGAAAAGAAAGGGGTACCAGCCCCACACAGAGATCCTCAGCCTAGAGTACCAGTGCCAGAAAGAGGAGTCCCCACAACATCTGGCTGTGAAAATCAGTGGGGATTCTGTCTGTCCAGTAGAGACAGAAGGTTGCTTGAGACCTGGGCATCCTCTTCAAGGGCCCATACACACACTCACTCACTTGTCC